TTCCATCAGGCTTATAAATTGTCTTTATCTCTAGATATAGTTTACTTGATCTCTATAGAATAGTTGGTCCTAAAAAGGACCGATTTGACAAAACTCATATTGGACGAGTGATTGAAGAATTAACCAATTAATTAATTATTCATTACCCAAGGTACGCCCGATTGCGGTGGTCTTATTAGTACTTAAATTTTCGTGAAGGCTTCTTCGTTGAACTCCATAAAAAATGACAAAGTATTTACTTTATATAAACTCTTTGTAAAAAGTAAATGAGTTTGTAACATCGGTCACAACTCATATATGGATAATAAGGAAACAAACAGGTTAAAATAGGTGTACAAAATTTTAACTACATATATATCGGCGCCATTGTTCAGGAGATGAGTTTATTCCAGAGATCAAAGATTACATTCTTTTACATGGATATTCTAGGTTCTATTTACTTATTTTCATTACTAAAAAGTATATTTATAATAAAGGCCTTAAGCTGTCTTTAGATTCTATGAAATTTTTTTGGCATAGACTTTTAGTCATTCAGCCAGACTCAACATGGTACAAATAGTTGTTTGAGTTTATATTAATAAATATACAAAACAAAAGACAGGTAAACAGGGTCACTCTCTTCTCGCCTAGGGGCCCATCAAGGCATTTCTTAAAAAGACGTACAACACTAGGCCACGGTAAGAAAGGAATTTGACAATTGGGTTAGAAACAAAGGTTACGTTATTAACTAATGCATAATTATTTAGATGGTTATTTTACTATCCTTTAAAAACATAACTAAGGAATCATACACTGCTCTCGAGTCCAGTGATATCCATGAAAATTTAAACCTATGGAAATTGGCAAATTACAAAATACAGACATAATTCTGAATACCAACTTGGGACAAACAGTTTTCCCCTCCTCAACTTATTCAGTTACAATCTATAACGTGTAAACGCATACTTGTTTTATTGTTAGATACAATGAATTTCCATCAAGTAACTTTCAGCAATGTGACAACAAATTGCTATATAACAGTACGAGGCAATATCATCATATTTGCGTTACATTAATATTTATGTGGCAATCAGCTGTAAAAGTCATTGCCGTTTTTCCGATCGTATCATATTTTAGCATAGTCACATAAGAATTCTTTTTAAGCAATATACTGTGTCATATTCTTCTGATTTATTTTGTTGACAATTTATTTATGCTTATTCGTTCACCTTTTGTAAAGCAGTCTGTTTAAATATTAGGGATTTATATAATCTTTTTGTTTATATAATTTGTTTATCGATTTTACTATTTTAGATAGAGTTTCATAATTATAGTTTTTTTTTTATTTTTTTCTATGGTAATACATATACATACCCAATTTGAAAGGGAGAAAACCAACGAGTTCTAAATTGAACATAGACATTATTCTCCATTTTTTCCTATATGTTATATAGATATCATCGTCATCGTATAGTCGGAACGCAACAAGATTTTATTACCATTTCTTCCTTTTTGTCTCCTCGTTCCTATTGCAAACTCAGCCACATAAATGGCGTTTTAAAAATATATGTCAATATTGCCGAAGTGCCTTTCCTAGGATACTTTTTTTAAGCCTAGTTCGTTTGATTACATGTAATTGATTTGATAGTCCTCAACAGATATGTATTGATTGTAGGTAGGATAGCAGGTGTTGATAAATATGATGAGTCGGTAAGTCGGTAAGTAGTCTCATTATTCCTAAATCTGCGCCCTTCATCTGTGGACATCCTAAGGGCATTTTTTCTCTCGGGGCATCCTACCAATTTAACTTGGGAATGCAGTTAATGAGAGAGCCTTTGGATAAAGCCAGCGCAACTTTGTAGTTGAGATTTAGGTTCTTGTACCTCGTTGCTATCTTTATATATGTGTTTGACCTTGGCATTAGTTTCGTTCGGTATTGGTTAGTACTCGGACCTTTGTAAGTCGGGAAATACCTCTGATGGCTTTTCTAGCAATCCTGATCTAATTTATACGTTCTCGTTACATATCCACACATTAGCACTGGTTCACTGTTTTATATATCCTGATTTTAGAGATTTATATTAGGCTTCTGGATTTAAAAGTGTTATAAGGGTTCTATATACATCAGTTAGCTACCTGAATTTTCCCTTTTATTTCTTATGTGACAACGTTATCTACGATATCTAAAACGCTGCAATCTTTCAAAATTATATAGCTTTATTGTCACGTTATGCCTTACTCTACATCCTTTCTTTTGTATGTTAAAAAACATTTATTTGATTTTCTCATTAGTGACTATTATACCGTTTTTGCTGCTAGTAGCATTATTTTATAGCATTCTAATATTTATTTATGGATTATATTCGGATAGCAAATAAATATTCTTTACTTTCTCGGAGAAATAATATTCTAACACACAAAATCCTATTAAATTGCCAAAAACCTCCGTACATATTCTATTCACTTATGAGGGCAGTATAGTCCTGGACTGGCTAATTTTTGGATAATAGGAAACATGAGTGTAGCAGTTTTAATGTTTTCGGGACTGCTACTTGGTATCGGGGAGCGGAAATATCATACCAAGGTATTGCATATAGGAATTGTTGCTTGAACTTTATTGTTATTAAACAACACTATATTTCCTAGTAAAATCATTATGACTTTACAGTAAGACAAATTTTCGATGTTGGTTATGAAAACATCATGTACATACCACCGGGTTCCCTATGTCGATCTCCAGAAAAATCTTTGTAATAATGATACGGGAAACAAAAAACCAAGAATGAAAATATGCGCCAAGAAACTCTGTGATATAACAGTCGAATAAAATACAGATTGTCGATTCAAATAGTCAAAAAATTAATGAACAGCTTACTAAAATGGAAATATCGCCTATTTAAGATGTAATTCATTAAAGGCCCAAGGTACAAAGCACTCCTAGCATATGCTAATGACATAGATCTCATAAGAAACTCTCCCGTCCGCAAACATTTTCAATAAAGTAAAGAGAGCACGAAAAATCAACGAAATGAAAACCAAATACAAGCGAATCAACAGAAAAGACCAATTTAATAAATCTAGATAAAATATTAAAGTTAACAATTACAATTGCAAAAATATGGAACACTTTAAATATCTTAGATAAATAATCACTGTTAATAATAATGTCAATAACTAAATACTTTTAGCATAATTCAAATTTTAGACCTATTTTAATACATGGATGCGAATCATTGACATTGACTAAAAAAAAAAATAAGGAAGAAGTACGAATATTTGAAATAAAAATAATTAGAAAAATGTTTTAACCTCATTATCATATCGGTACAAATCCGTATAGAATAAGAACCCATACTGAATAAAGAAAGCTTTTATAACGATATTGTTCAGAAAAATAAATCGCCTAAGGTAGATCGGACACATGCATAGACGCCAATATATCAAACTTGTAAAACTGGTCTGGAAGGAAGTTAGCACAGAAGAAAGAATGCCGCTTAGGCGTCTCAGTAAGCAATGGAGAGAAAACATCCAATTATATCTCAAAATATTACCATTTCATTTGATTACAGATTCGTGGAAAATCGATCAACTTGGAGAAAATTTGTAGTTAGCGAAGACCCACCCAGTGTTGTAGCACCACGTAATGATGATGATAATGAAAAAGGAGAAATAGTGACAAAAAGTAATAAAAATGGACTAATGGAGCAAACCTGCTTTAAAATCTTGATTGGAGAGGATTAAAATGAAAGTATAAGAAATACAATGAATGATTGATGGATTCGAGAAACTTGAGACTTGAGAAAAGCACACTGACGTGTGTATCCATATTAAATTCCTTAGATTTTTATACTTTTTTTTAGACTTTTATACTAATAGCTTTAAAATTGAATGTTTGGTGAAAATAGCTACGCGACTTTAATGCATCAAATATTTTGTTAATTAAAAATCAACATATTGAAATTAGACAGCAGAATATTATAATATTAAAGATTAATTTATAAATTATTATAGTCTAATTTTAACTACTTCATGAAATAAATATTACACGCCATAAACTGCAGTAATTGAAAAATTATAAAGATCTTACAGAAGAGTTTCTTAAACTGTTAGACGATTACGCTACTCGATGTTCATATCAATAGGTTCCAAAATGTACCACCTATAAAATTTAAAAATCTACTACTAATACAATTATTGGCAACATCGCAGGAGTTAAGAAGTGTACGGGAAAAGTTATATACGGATCCCAAAAATGTTTAATCCTATTACGGAGTCCACTTGATCCGACGTATTGGTCGGAGTCTACATAAAGCGCTACTCAGATAATAATATACACGGCGTATATTCTCCTGGAGTTAGTATAATACCGTTTTAGTACGGAGCCCATATTAACCGCTAGAAGTATATATATATATATATATATATATATATATATATATATATATATATATATATAGGACATGCATTTAAAAATTAAAAGGAAAATCAAACCCTAGAAATTAAAAAAACTTAAAAGAAGGACACAATTATCATGGGCTGCTTTTGGTAAGTTGAGCTTCATTTTAAAAGACAGAAAAATCCCAATTCACTTAAAACGAAAAACCTATGACACTTATAAATGAAGGCTGAAGAAGAAGAAGAAGAATACTTATTATTAGCCCATCTATACCGATATACTGTGGCCCGTCTATCCCTAAAATATGACGAATGGCCCGTCTATACCGATGGCCCATCTCTCCCGGACTTACCCTATATTATCTACAATTATTACTAAATATTCGTAAGTTTTCATTGGATCGCAAAAGATTCGTCAAAAATGAAAAATTTCAACAAACATTGAACGCGCCATGAACGCACGGCGCACAAAAAAAAGACTTCACATTTATGTCCCAAAAAAATTTTCGTTTGAAATCTGGTTCATTACTTATTGTGGAGTTTCCTCTTATTATTTACAACACATTTGATATGCTTATTATTAAATATTGTTTTACATTAGTAAATGTAACCAAATATTTTTTTAGTGAAACTGGCGGTATCATGTGGCCATTTATTATTTTCTATAGTCGGAGATGAAGACAATTCACATTATCTTACAGTGGGACAACCCATAGATGATATTAAAGCAGCTGAATCGAAAAGTTCTGCAGGTGAAATAGTTATTAGCGCTAGAGTTATCCATCATATAACTGCAAATGAATATTTAATAGATTTATTACCAGATGGAATACACGCCAGAGTAAGTGTATATGTTTGAAATGTTTTGAATAATATGTATATTACAAAAATAGTTGTTACAATTTTGAGATTACTACTAGTTATTATAATGCTTGCTATCTATTACATTCTTTAATATTTTCTTACATTTCTTAGTATTTGGTTTTGAGGTCGTTGTAATTCGTTGAATATTGTTCTTGGTACAGTTTCAATTTTAAATTATTGTATTATTTTAATATATATTATACCATACCTCTCCTTTCGTCTCGTTGTCATTCTCTATCACTATCTCAAAGCAAACGAGACATTCGTTATCCTCCTTCCTGGCATAAACCCAAACCTGTTCTTCTGCTATCGAAATCTCCATCCTAATCTTTGCTCTACAGTTCTCTTCCAAATTTTCATTGTGTACGACATTAATTTTATCCCCATTAATATTTGGATACTAGTTATTATAGTCCTGAATATTCTCTTTGTTCTTTATTCTCTTACACAGTGATATCATCATACTCTTTCTTCGTGAATTGGATATTCCTTAGATATTCTATTTATCATTTTCCACAACACATCAACTTGTTCCTCTCCTAGAGCCTTTCAAATCTTTACAAGTATTCTATCAGGTCCTACTGCCTTACCATTCTTTATCGTATTTAAAGCCTCGACAATTTAATCTCTCATTATTCTCTATTAATATGTCTATTGAAATCATTTTCAATAAAACACTTTTCGCCTAAAAGAATCTCGAGCATTTCGCAATTAAGGGTACAACAAAATTCTTCCTTTTCCTGTTCTTTACTCCTTACAGGAGGGTGGTAGACACATATTATATTTACGTTAATATCGCATGTTTTCAGTTACATTCTCATTATTTCATCACTTCTGGTTACCTTTACTAGATATTTCTTCTACTCGACAAATATAATGCTGGAGCGGTACCTTGTAAGGCGCGATGATTGTTGCGTAGGCAATTAATACATCATCCACCTTTTTTAGCAACTTCATAACGTACAAATGGCGATAATGGTGTAAATTCAGGGCAGGAATTTACATAATGCTCACCCTCACAAAAAATACAACTATTTTGTGAAGCAGTTGCAGTATAAGTTAGTTGATTTCGCGAATGCAGAGCCATATTCGACGATTTTTATTTATTTGGTGGAGAATTTTTGATAGTATATCGCTAAGATCCCGTGTTTTCGAGGTCAACTTTTCTATTTAAAAACGAGATCATTTGTTTCATTTTTGGATTACGCGATTCGTTAGTACTATCCTCCCATCGTTCACGGAGACTATTAGTGAATTGGTCTTTGAATAAAATGAAGAGAAAAGAATCTCACGAGTCGATGGGTCCACCAAGATTTTTTAATGCTCTTAAATATTTTTGAATATGATCCAAAAATGCAAAAGTTAAATATTCTTTTAACATGCATTGCGTGTCAATTAGCGATTTGATGAATCTGGAAACATCTGGAATGAATTTTCGATCGTCATCGGTTTTTGTAACAAATTCCACGCATTTGTTGCAAAATGATTTGCTGCGGGAGCAGTTAATGCAATGTTGTTTGCCGATTGAATTTTTGCTGACGACGACGATGAAGGAAAGGTAGAAAATATTGGTTCTGGTGGTGTATCATCCACAGTTGACTTAGTTTAATTTTTCCGTAATCCGACCCGACAAAAAATTTGCGGTGACTGCGTGTGTTTAATAATATTGTTCCTTAAATTCTATACGATAATTATAAATTCATCAAATTCTTTAAGTAATATTTCTAATTTCGTTTGAAAGAATTAAAAATTTTTCCGAACCTTTTTCATGCCTTGATACAGAGTTTCTAAGTTTAAAAAATCTGTTTCAGGATTGTACTTACTTAAAAAATTTTCATATGTCGTTACATATCGCTTGGCATTACCGCGTTTGAGATTAAGGGCTTTAACTGCATCTTCAGCAATTTAAAATTTTTATAATTATATAAATAAAAAATGATAAAAATAAAACCAAACAACCAGAAAACCAAAATTTGTCACGACAAAACAGTAATATTTATATACGGGAATAATAAAATTATGCGATCAGTTAATGAAATTCTAATAATCCTACTAATTAATTTTGAGCAAACGCGATAGAAAACATATTAATTGTTATGAGTAGTAGAAGGAATACAACAAAAAGAATGGATTAATTGGGTGGTTCGAATTACTTACTTTGAACTGGTGATTTTCGATGTGTTTGTTGCCTGTTGTTGTTAACTACGATTTGATTTGATGCTATCATGACCGTTGGTGGTGATGACTAGACTTCGGCAAATATGCAAATAAAAATGTAGAAAATATGCGCATAAATATGCACGTGTTTACCCGAAAATATGCAAATATTTTTCAAAATATGCATACAAATAAATAAAAAAATCGTAAAATAGTAACGATTTTATTTAAAAAAAAAGTGTACATAACTAAATATTTCCTACTATTCATTAAGATTTACATTTATTTTAAGTAACTACATCATTTTTAAGTATGAATAAACTTATTTAGAATTATGGTAACAATAAATGACCAAGTGGTGTTCAAAATTTTCTAACAAAAACTTGTGGCTTCTGTCTGAGTACATATATTTATATATGGAAAAACTTCGTTTAACATCAACTGATGTAACGGGAGCATTTTTCAAACTAACCAAAACATTTGGTTAAATTAATTATTTCCGAAATATTTCCAGCTAGAACACTGACTACTTCAGAAAGAATATGGTAACCTTTATTTTTTTCCATAGTAGCTTCAAATTTTTTTAAAATATCTTTTCCAATATTACCTCTAACGTTCCGACAACATGACGCAAATTCTTTTATTATTGATGTACTTTCGGACAATGACAGTTTTGGTGATTCTAACTGAGTAATTGTTTTTTGAACAAAACTAAAATTTGATTTTATAAATGAAAGTTCTTGTTGAAGCAAGTTACTCTGAAAAGTTTGTTTAGAATCCAAAAGAGATTGGGAACTTTCAACCTGTTAACGTATCAATTATGTTCTTTATTTTAACAAAATGATCTGCATAAAAATTAGCTGCTTCTAACCATGTTCCCCATCGCGTTAAAAGAGGTTGTGGTGGAAGAGGAATGTTAGGTAGCATTTCTTTATAAAGTTGAATTCTTTTAGGAGATTTAAGAAATACTGTTTTGACACTGGATATCATGGTATTTACAAGAGGAAACTTTTTTCGTATTTCCTCTGCAACTCTGTTTAATCCATGCGCTACACAAGTAACATGTATTAAATCTGGGAAAAATATTTTAAAATTTTGTCCTGCTTTCACCATATAAGGAGCAGCATCCGATAAAATAAGCAGTAATTTATTAGAAGGAATAGTTGTCGGAAGAAAAAAAGTTGCTAATGTTTCTTGTATAAAACGCGAAATTGTTAAAGCATTTGTTTTCTCAAGTTGCTGGCATGAAATAAGATGAGATTTTGGTAAGGTACCTTCTTTAAGAATACCAATCAATAAATGAGCAATATACTTTCCTGAGGAATCAGTGGTTTCGTCTACAGATATGTAAAAATAATTATCTGCAATTTCATCCTTAATATTAATTAACACCGACGAGTATAGCCCGTTCACATTATTTCTTCTTAGAGACCTATCACTTGGAACATTAAGTTTGCAATATTTTTTTAGAAACGAACTAAAATTTACATTTGATAATTTTGAAAGCGGTATGTTTGCACACACTAATGCGCGACACAAGTCTTCATTAAAAGTTTCTTGCTCATCTAATTTTTTTTAAGTAGATTGGAAACATTTAGCCATTGAAGTTTGATGTTTTCCTCCTATTTTTCCTTTTTTTGCAATATGTGAAGCAGTTCTCACATGTTGGTCTATCTGAAATTTCTTCTCACATGCTATCTATAAATAAAAATTAAAACCTTTATTTTAACCCAACCTTTAAAATATAAAAATATACACGGTGTTTTTGGTTAATCAAATAACTGGTTTGAAAAAAAAACACTCGCTAAGTGTTTTAAATGCAGTATTAATCCACAAATTAGTTTTTGTTACTAACCATTAGTACATCATATAACTTATTTTAAAATTCAACAAAAGTTTTTTTTTTGTTAATTCAATAACAATAAAAATAATTGTGTTTTAGAATAGCTGACTTCATAAAAAAAAGTAAAGGTGAAAAATTTTTCTAAATACACACCATTGTATTGTACCATGGACAATTTTTTCTCACTAAAGAAAGCTATTTTTCATTTAAAAACAACCTACGAGTATTAAATTTCAAGTAAATACGTTGATTGGTTTTAAAGTTATTGTTGTTATTAACTAAAAGAATTTATTTTTTTTTTATTTTAACACCCTGTATCTCGAAAAGTAAATAAGTGTGACCCCTCATTAACTATATCGTTTTGTTCAATTTCTCGAGAAGTATCTACAGTCAAACGTTGTAAGTGTCATTTGGAAACACCCTGTATGTATGAAATATTAGATCTTCTTCTTCTTCTTCGTCTAGCCATTCACGTCCACATCTGAACATAAGCCTCTTCAAGTCTTCCTTTCCATTGTTTTTTATTGTACGCTACTTGTAGCCAATTTTTCCCGGCAGTCCTTTTCAGATCATCTGTCCATCTCATAGGAGGTCTGCCTCTGGGTCTTTTGTGTTGGTATGGTCTCCAGGTTAAAATTGATCTGTGCCATTTGTTTAGATCGCTCCTAGCTACATGTCCAGCGTATTCCCATTTCAGCTTTAATGCTTTTTGCACCACATCGGTGACTTTGGTTTTCTGTCTTATCCATGTGTTTGTTTTCTTGTCCTTAAGTGTCCTCTCCACTTAAGGACAAGATGAAATATTAGATATTTAATAGAAAATATTAGATACTTACCTTACAATTTTGCCACAGACTGAACAGTAGATTTTTCCCATATCCATAGACAGCTCTTTATAAGGTTTAATCCAAGTTGAAGCACTGGTTGTTTTAGGCATTATAAAATCACAATCTTTCTTTTTGTTACGCACAACGAGTGTTTACGCTTTGAATATCAAAACAAAAATGATTTACAAATCTGAGCATCAAATTAGAAATGTTTAGGTACCTAATTCAATAAACTGGGAGATTTTGGAAAATCCCTAAATTAGGAACAAAATTATTAGCCGTTTACCTGCTGTTAAGATAAAATAAATTGTAGATAGATTTAAGGATTAGATCATAAAATGCAAATGAGCGAACCCTTAGCGATTATCCAATAACTGAATGCCTCAGTGACCGAGACTTTCTAAGAATGTTGAGGGCTACTTAAATTGATCTTCTTTGAAATTGTAAATGTTTTGTACCTGTAGAGATTACGTACTTAGATCATTTCTTGATTAAAATGACTACAAAATTTTATACAAGAATTGAAATAAATTGGTATGTTTAAAAATTTTCAAATACAGTATAAGAATCTGAACTTTTATTCACTTTATGCAAACTTTTATACAAATATGACAAAATATGAAATATTTGCATAAAATATGCACAATATGCAAAATATGCAATATGCATATTTGCCGAAGTCTAGTGATGACATAGGAATACGACGACGATATGTGATGAATCCTTGAGAATTTCGAAGAAAATGGCGATAAATTATTCTTGGGACACTTTATTCACGGTCACTTTACTTTGATTTAAAGCGATAAAACACAATACAATACAAAGTTCAATTTTTTCGACAATAACTAAGCTCAGTTCTTCAAATACGATACGAAAACCACTAGTTACATTCGACTCGATCAAGGACCATGTCATTATCCACGATTGGTTTACCGTGACATATTTGCTATAAAATACTATTTTATTAAATTAAAATAATATAGACGATAATTTTCATAGAACTATTTATTGCTTACTATACATGTTTCCAGAACTGAGTTTCAGTCGATACTACTAAAAATACATTACAAATGCTTAACAGAAATCTCTAGTAGTGGGAGGGGCTGTACTAAGAGCTATATAATTTTACCTTGGGGTAAAAACGTAAATTACAAAATTATTCATACTGTCCTTATCAGAAAGATATACAGACGCAGTGGATGCGACAATAGCCGACGGATTTGCCGGGTAAATACTTTTTAAATAGAGGGATTAAAATATACAATTTTTTAACAAAAATATGTAAAACTAGTAAATATTTGAATTTTTTAATAGATTTTTGAAAACTAAAATTTACCCAAAACTTTAAAAATTACAACTATGAATAAAATAAAATCAAAAAATAATATAAACTAAATTATAGAATATAATTATAGTTATTAATAATATATATTATATAGAATATAAATATAATATAACAATAGAATATTACCGGCAATTTTATCAAAAGGTTTCTCCTTATTGCTCATGCAAGTAAGTTTTTAGTTAATTTAAAATTTTTCAGGTTTTAGGAGTTGGTCCAAATTGGAGAAATATTCAAAGACACTACGAAAAGAGTGACTTCGTTGGTAAACCTTAGTCAAGGATACAGTACAAAACTGTAGTAATAATGGATTTATTTTTAGAAATATACAGCCTTCTAAGCGATCTTCCGGATGATTTAGCTGATGATGTTGATCGTTTAACTAACATTTCTGATGAAAAAAGTAGTATGGGACCTGAAGAACCAACTCAAGCGTTAAACGCTCCCACGGATCAATATGCTTGTAGGTCCTATTAGTTTTAGCCAATTTTAGTATTATCTTTTTTTAAACAATATTCGTAGATATACGGAACTCGATTATTTGTAAAATTGTCTAGATTGATTTAGTCAGAAAGGTCTTCTTTGATTTGAGTCTTTGTGTTTTGAGCTAGTGATCGTGGAGTATAAATCGAAAGTCGTCCATTGCATCCTTTCATTTAATATTTCTAGCAATTTCTGTTTTCATATGAGATGGAGTGATGCCAAAGATAGAGTTAGATAGATATAGATAGATAGATAGTTTATTTGACTGTAAGTTACAACTAGGTTTACAGCAAGTCAAAACTAAAATTATAAATATTAAATATTACAAAAAAAGAAAACAATATATTAAAAATATTTAAGACATTAAAATACTTAAAAAACGTACAATATAGACATATAATTAAAATTTTAATAAATAGGAGTGGAGATTCGTTACGGGTTTGGGTCTCAGACATTGGTGATGCAGCATATTCTGCAGCTGAAATGGAAAGTGCAAGCGCCGATGTTATAAGGGTGTAACCTCGGAAATCTTTTTTGGGTGGTGCTAGAAAGATAACCAATGGAGACACTGCGGACGGCAGCCAGATGGTTGGTGGAGAGCGAGTCGTGGGTTCGAAACTAGCTTTTGGAACCGGGAATGGATCCAACGGAAGAAATAGGTAAAGATAGGATAAGAGATATTAGAAAAGATACAGAAATAAACAAAAAGATAGATGGGTAAAATTACCAAAGATAAGAGAAGATAGAAACAGGGCGCCACTAAATTTTTTGGGGTTAAGGAGAAAATTAAGAAAACCTTAGAAAAGAAAAGAGATAAGAAAAGATATTTAGGTTCAGAGTTCAAACCCAAGGAAAGATACCAACAGTAAATTATCAAATAAATCTGGTCAATGCAATATATAAACAAATAATAAATATATTAAGTATTACACTTACTTACCTACGAAACTTAATCAGCCTCATCTTTCTACAGTTCAAAAGCACAGTAATATTTAAAGATAGTAATTGTTCAGAGCTATTATTTTATCAGGGAACTTGTTAGGAGCCGACAAATAAAATACATGCATAAAACAATAACAATATATTAAACACAAAATTATGATGCTGCTAAATGCAACCCAGGTAATAAAAATACACAACTATGAAATGGTGTTATATATGTATAAAATTAAGCTATAATGTAATAAAAAAATACCTTTACCAAGATATATAAGGCAATCATATACAAATATAGTTTGGCGTATCTCAAAATATCATAGGAAAGATAATGAACAAAAATTATAGGAAATACAAAAGATAGCAAAAATTATTTAACTCTAAATTTACAAAAAAAAACAAAAAGGTTACAGGAATGAAAACATAAACCAAACCGCACTTGGTTAAGTCAATTAACTATCTCGCACTATTATTTAATAAAAAAACTGAGACTTGTATGTTCATATGTAATTTTTATAGAAATTTCTTGAATGGTTCAATTACATTCAAAAATCGGCAATCTACAGGTGAAGATATAGATGATACGTCCAGATAATGGCAAGTGATATGGTACCATACCATATTACTCGCCCAGATAATTGTAGATAAAGAGATCTTGACGAAAGCAGCTTAATTCACTGAATTTAATACTTTTCTGGTACTAAACACTGAATTTAATAACCATTAAAGATAGTGTAGAACTATATATAATTTAATATAGTGTAAGGAAAGAAAACTCAAATATGAAGTATATACACACTTAGAAAATAATTCACAAAGACGATACGATAAGAAATAAAGTGAGAAAAGCGTAACACGAAATATTGGCCTTAACTCAACAACGGCCCACCAACAAGTCTCACGAGATATTACCTCACTCAACAACTACCCACCAACAAGTAAGTTGGTTCCACTAAAAATTTCACCAACTGTCCCTGAAAAAGGAAGAAGAAAATTTTCCCCCACTCAAGAATGATAGGACAGTTGTATGTGTTTCTTAGAAGGTAAGGATTGACAATTATTGGAAAGTTTGAGGTAAAGTAATCGGTATTAACAATTGGACATAAGAAACAGACAATACTTGGGATTAAGTTTTGTCAAAAGATATGGGCCTTCGACGAAAATTACCAATTTATGAAAAGGAAACTGCATACCGGAAAGCATTTGTTCTTTTCATACAGAGTATTAAGACGGAAGGATTAAAAACCTTTCTTAATTAGGGAATTCCATTTTAGCTTGGTATCTACAATATTATTTTCCTATCGTAAACATGGGGATTCTTAATCATCGGCGTATCGCATGGGGGTAAAAGGAATTAAAAACAATTTGATATAATAATAACAAAAAAAATGTTACAAGGGTGAGAGACTGTTCACCACACTTTTGGTCAACGATTGTGCGAAAAATATTGTTTTTGATATTAGTTTGCCTTTTAGTTTTAAACAATAAAATTAAATAGTAAAAGCTGTAGCGATAAGACTATCAAAGAGAGTTAAAATACTTTTATAAAAATAATACCTCAATCAACCATGGGAGCTTATCGTCTATGCTTCGCCTAGCTCAATATCTTCGTCTTGTTTTAAACTAGCAGTAAAACCATGAACCATTTATTATTTAACTAGACATATTTATAAAAAAATATTATTTAAGTAGCAGAAGATAACCCTGCGAATTCTTTACAATAAAGAAATTTCGCGATACTTGTGGCATCGTTTGGTGATTGTGTGGCTTCCCAATTATATGGTTAGGTCCTCGTGAGCTGCAGTTGTTCCATATTTGTGTGGCCTCCGAATTAGGTGGTTTCAGAAATATTCCATAAAATATTTAATACAGCTAATAAAATACGGCCAATAAACTTCTAGAATACGGCCGGTAAACTAAAATATAAGGAAGAGCTTGAATTAGAGACACATCAAAGGGGGTTTAATTTCCTTGCCATTTTAGTAAAGACCTAACAGATCAGAATAGGAAGCTAAAGCTTGTTGATAATCAACATCAAAAGATAAATTGACCGAAACGTTAGAAAAACTACGGTTACTGGCTTGTTGATAAAGAAGTCCAGTAAGAATCTTTCGTTTTTTCCCCACTGTACTTGGGACAGAGACATTTCTAATAAACATTTCATATGATAATTCATCTGTCTTTACATATTTAGGTAGTATCTTGAAGAAACATTTAAAAAAAATTAAGAAAGTAATTAAAGTACCCTATCCACAAAAATTGGATAAATAAATCAGACCAGACTATCTCTATATAGTTTAATTCGACCCGAGTAAAATTTCATCAATAAATTCCTTTGCGGGTAGGATAAGTGATTCTGTAGAAACTATTCTGTAGTTTGTGTATCCGATTTAGTGGTTTTTAATTTTTTGTTGATATTGCTTATGCTTTTATAAAATCTATTTGTGTTTTCTGTCGTTGGTGTACCAAGTGGTGTCGATATTTCAGAATGACAACGTTTCTGTATGGTAATATCTATGTGTAGTTTTTGGGAGTCGATTACGTCACAAGTGTCTTTCATTAATTTTGACCAGAGTGATTTTTGCTTTCAGCTATCGCATTGGAGGAAGAAATAGTTTCTTGATCGGTTTGAGATATAAGTATGGATGTATTTGACTGAATCGCCATATTGGTATATGTTGAGGCTATATGACCAGATTGATGGCAGAGATAGCAGGTTAGTCCATCAGAAAAAAATATTTGGTAAGATGTATTATCGAAGTCAACGAGAATTGATTCAGGAATGACAAGATTGTCGACAGTTGTATAGTACACCTGTCTGCATAAGCTTAGGACGTGACTATATTGAGGATCTTGGATTCCCACTCTTAAGCGAGTCATCGGTGAAAGTAGATGAAAGCCCTTCTCAGCAAGATATTTCTCGATGATGTTATAAGGAATAGTCGGACAAACATTGGACAACAATAACCCATTAGCAGGTGTGACTAATCTTCTCCCTCTAATAACATTATTTCCTAGTTTGATTCCTTCGTGATCTGTTAAAAAGGTGTTAGCAACTTCTTTGCTAGAGAGGTAGATGCAGATTCCCAAATTATTCCAACACGACAAAATGGCAAGTTACCACAAAAATTTTACCACAAGTAAAATGATATTCTTGATTAGATCGTAATTTAAACTAATGCTCATAATATAATGTTTGTATTTTATAAAATTAAATTTAATATTTTACACCGATTTATGTAAAAGTTTCTTTGTAAACCGTGTATTTAATGTAATGCAAAAATAATCTATTTTAGTAAGACCGGCAGTAAATTTAGCTGTTAGACTTAATATAATGAATGAATTAAGACGGTTTATTATTGCTCCTGTCATGAACGGGATCGATGCTGAAGAACCAATTGAATATATGACAGAAATAAGACAAGTCTGTATACTATTTATTAACATAAAAGTAAATGAAAATATTTCTTCTACTCAAGGAACAGAACTTGCAAATAAAGTTTATATCTTGGTGTGCAAGTAAGTATATTAGTGTGACAACATTTCTCTTGCTTTAACGATTCGCCATAATATCTTTTACTAGTAAACATATACCGGAGCGACTAATCGTAGAATTGAAATCCGACGTTGCCAAGTGTGCGATTGACACATGGCGGCGGCAAATTTAAATCATCGGTAGTAGTAAATTTTATATTGTGGTAATTACAATAAATGAAATTCCACTAATTATAATATTATAATAATATAAATATTTTTGTTAATAATAAACATAATGAATATATCAACTTTAATGTAGAATATAGTATTGACTGTTAATGAATACCGTTCATTACATATACCTAGCATTGTTTTTTAAATGGATAAAACATAAATAAAAATACAAAATACTTGAAAGACTAATTATTTTATTAAACAAATTAGAATGTAACAAATAAATATTTATAATAATACCCATAAGCTATACTGGGACAGGACTGTACTCACGGACCAAACAATGGCACACAATAGACCAGATCTCATATTAGTTAATAAACAAACTAGACAAACCACAAACCTGATTAATGTGGCGATACCCAACAATAATCTGCGTATCAAGTACACCGAAAAGATCACCAAATACAGAGATACTCCAATCTACCAGGTCACCTAGGACTAGGAAAACACCTAGATAACACAGAAAGAGTCCCCCGAGAGCTCAATCCTTTTGATACCCTAGGTGTCTGGGATGAGTAAATTTTCCCTTTAGAGGGAGTGTGAGCCGCATGGATTAATTCTGGGATAATAATAATAATAGCGTTTATTGCTTGTTTCCTCTTCCATGTGAAAGTTGTGCTTATTTATTAAATGGTTTACCAATTCCCTCTGAAGCGTAAAAGAAATATTGCACTTCTCCAAACATTTAAATGATTTTACATTTATATCATATGCAATCACTTCAGAGTTTAATTTGTGTTGTTCTTTAAGATGACGATTTAAATTGCTCTGACTTGAATATATTTTCCTACAGTGTCTACACGTAACAGGCATTGTACTACTAATGATATTACCTTTATTTATACAGAAACAAAACAAGTGTGTGAATATTTAAGAAAAACACCAATAAAGTTTATCAAAATAAAATTTAAACAGATTGATTAAACAACCTTGTTTATAAATTTTAAAAGACATATGACATAATGTGACAGCTCATTAAAATTAAAATTACTGGCAACGTTGGATTTCATTTCTACGATAAGTCCCTCCTAACATATACAGAGTGGCCCAAAAGTCTGGAAACGGCCAATTATCTCGTAAATTGCTAGTTATAATTATACAAAATTTGAGGTACACCTATTTTGCGATACGGAGATTCCATATTTGATATTTGCAATGTTGCCAGATTTGCCATTTTTCTGATATTATTAGCAACTTTGGTTTTTCAAATGCATCACTCTATATATTTAGTCATTATTAAAATTTTCTATTCAATACGAGTTCAACTATATGTAACACTTATGTTTTTTATAGTCTGGAAGGTCTTAAATACATAAAACAGAAGTCTGCCAACGCCTAATTGTTTCAATAAATTTTGTTATACTAATTATTTTCAACTACATTAAAACGTAACAATTGATAGATTAGACAATTTTTTAACAATAGTTACGTTATTAAGTGTTCAAATTATGCTCAATTTGTGAGTTGACAGTACCCTAATCGATGGTAGAATGCGTCTACCACATTTCTCCATGATTGTCTAGAAATTATGTGAGATTATTAATCGATAATTCGTTGCCTTTGCTCTGCAAAACTTGGCTGGTTAAGTTTTCTAAACTGAATTTTTTAAGTATCCCTAATAAAAAGAATCTTTAGGATTGAAATCGGGTGAACGTGAAGGCCATTCAATTCTACCTTGTCTACCACTTTATCGTACGGAAAATATCTCATTTAAATAACGCCGAACATTTACACCAACTATCTGACGTTAAATTTCCTTCGATAAAAGATGACCCAATTGACTAAAAGTACCTACTATACCTGATCATACATTTAATTTTTGTGGTCTGGTATGGTTTTCACGCATTCAGTGTGAATTTCATACGAGTTCAACTATTTAATACGAGTTCAAAAATATGTAACACTTATGATTGTATGTAGTCTGGAAGGTCCTAAATACATAAAACAGTGCAAAATATGTAGATTTTAATAAATTTAAATATTTAAACATTTGATAGTGATATTGACGTTTGTTCACGATTTACATTATAAACTAAAACTGACAGCAGTTGTGTTTCGAAAAGTTCTGCAATTTAAATTGCTTCTCTAAAATGCAGTTCTCAAAACCGTTCTCCTATTCATAAGGCGACGACGGTACAAAAAACTGTAAAGCGATTTGAGAAATCTGAAGAGGGTAAAGACAGATGGAAAGAGAAAAGTTTTGTTGAAGATCCACATACATCCTCAGGCAGGGTTGCGCAAGTACATGATATAGGTCGTTCTTCAGTCTTACGTATATTACGTAAAAATAAGTTTAAACCATACAAAATAAACTTATTTTGAAGAATAAGTGAAGAATTAAGTGAAGATGACTTCGATCTTAGATTAGAGTTTACTGAGGTAATGATGAATAAAATTGAAAATTATTAAAATTTCGTTAACAGAATATGTTTTCCGATGAAGCAAATCTTTACACTGTGTGGAAGTGTAAATCGACACAATTTAAGGTACTGGAGTGACGCAAATTCACACTGAATGCGTGAAAACCATACTCGAAGACCACAAAAATTAAATGTATCGTCAGGTATAGTAGGTACTCAGTCAATTGGGACATTTTTTATCGAAAAAAATTTAACGTCAGATAGTTGGTGTAAATGTTCGGCGTTATTTGGATGAGATATTTCCTGGACGATAAATTGGTAGACAAGGTAAAATTGAATGGTCTTCACGTTCACCCGATTTCAATCATAAAGATTATTTTTATTAGGATACTTGAAAAAGTCAGCTTACAAAACGTAACCAGCAAGTCTTACAAGGGTAAGGCAACGAATTATCGATGAATCTCGAATTGTTTCTTGACCATCATAGAGAAATGTGATGGACGCATTCTACCATCGATTAGGGTACTGTCAACTCATAAATTGAGCAAATTTTGAACACTTAATAACGTAACTATTGTTAAAAAATGTTCAAATCTATCAATTGTTAAGTTTTAATGTAGTTGATAATACTAATAATTAGTATTAAAAAATTTATTGAAACAGTTAGGGGTTGCTAGACTTGTGTTTTATGTATTTAAGACCTTTCAGACTACATAAAATCATAAGTGTTACATATGGTTGGACTCGTATTGAATAGGAGATTCCAATAATGACTAAATATACAGGGTGATGCATTTAAAAAACCAAAGTTACTAATAATATAAGAGAAACGGAAAATCTGGCAACATTGCAAATATCAAATATGGAATCTCCGTATCCCAAAATAGGTGTACCTCAAATTTTGTACAATTATAACTACCAATTTACGAGATAATTGGCCGTTTTCAGACTTTTGGGCCACTCTGTATATGTTATTTATATTGATTTTTATTTATTAAATAATATTCTTCAGAAAAGTGGTGCAGTAGACGGTACTGTAGCTCAGCGCGGAGCTACATTCTATGTTTTCTGTATGTTTAAATTTTAAATACTAGGTATTTTTAAAATTAAATAAAGTAATTTGGTTAGTTATTTAATATTTTAATTGAACGTGTAATTTTAATAAACTCGTAAAGAATCTATGGTAAAGAAGTGGAAATTGAAACGTCAATAAACTTATTTTAAACTTCAATTGTGGCTTATTCCGATAAAAATAGTAATTAATAACCTTAAGCTTCAGGGAATGCATTTAGCATCGTTCATAAGGTTTCAGACATATTTTAGGTAGTCAATATGCTTTGATACTTAATCGAAGTTACAGCCCCCTTTAGGTGAGGGTACTGCTCATTGCGCATGCGAACTCGTTTTTTTAATTTCAAAAAAACTTTTATGTTAATCCACAAGGAATCTACGTTCCTGTAGTTGGCTGTATACCATGTATTAAAAATTTAATTAAAAATCCTTTGTAATAGGTATATTTTAGGCCCAAACGGGCTACGTTAAAAAGACAAAACGTTTTCGGAAACCATGTTCCATCATCAGTGTCCTAGAAAATAGTTAACCACTTAATTAAAAAGAACAAAGGTTAAAATTTTGACTAAGGTTAAAGAACAATGTGGTTAATACTTACTAGGAGTACATGAATGAAGCCACCAAGATTAAATATGTGGGTAAAAACCCGATTACATATGTTTAATTACATTTAGTTTTAAAATAATGTTGTAATGATATAGGATTACAGAGTTACCGATGGATTTGGTAACATGGCGACATATGACTCCACGTTGAAGTTGCTAGTCCTGAGACGGTATGTCTTCGAGGACTGTATGAGTGCAACTGATTGGCAATGACATTTGATGACAATGTTGTTAAGTTATGACGGAAATAATCACAGAGCAGTCAATGTAGCTGTATGTTTCTACTAAGGACAAAAGCCAACGTTATTTAAAATTTTGTGAATTGTGTCAATCGTCATGTATCCTTTAATCGAGACTTCCTTCCTCTTCATCGCCAACTATTCTCATAATTTTTCACCACTACTTTACCTCTCAACTAAAATCCACATTTATCAATAAACTTCAGTCCATTCCAAAACTTTTACTTCAACATAACACACTCTTCATCTCTTCCCTCTTCTCTTCATTAAACCAAACTTCAAGTCTAACCCTCTTTATCTATTACTGTCCATGCTTCTTGTTAGCCCCCCAAAAATCCCAAACTATTCAGCAACCCTTTCTAACAAACATTTCAGTCCTCTTCTTACATTTTCACACAACTTCCTTAGGGTTTGGTAGCGGACCTCTGGTGATCTCAGCTTTCTGCAGTGGTTCAGTATCCCACCATCCATTCAAAACAACCATAAATTTCTTTCTTACTCAATTTAAACATAGCTATCTATAAATCTTC